GAAGGAGTGAAAGCCTGATAGCAATGTTCCCTTTGAAATGTTGAGGCTGACAGACTGTCCAGCCTGTTTGACATGTAAGCTCATGTAATTAGCACTGCCCTCCACACTTCTACCCCGTCCTGCATGTCTGCTTCCCGACACTCTCCGCCCTCTCAACCCTTTTCTCTAAGCAACTAGAGCCTCTCCCTTGAGCCGAGCCTTCCTGCAGTCACTGCTGCCCGGCAACCTCCAGTGGTGGGATGGGGCCCCCACCCTGCTCCTTGACTCTGTTTCCAAACCACTGCTTCCTATCTTTCCATAAAACCCCCTTTCCTCTGAAGTCCGTGCCACACATCTATACCCCCATCAAGCCCCTTCATGACCCTCATCTATGTGCCATGATGGCTGGCAAATAGGGGGCACTCCATAAACACTGGTTGAATGAATGGCTGATTCTCTGAGTCAATGACTGAGTAAAGGCTTTTTTCTTGGTCCCTCTTCTGCATTTATTTGAGACTTTCAATGCTTCACTCACTATGCTCCCTTCGACATCTTTTCCTACCGTGATGCTAGGTGAGGTGTCCATGGAAGACCAAACAAGACTCCCAGTTCCCTCGCAACCTCTTGTTCTTCTCAGTGACACTTTCTCCTCTAATAACGTCAACCATCCTGGTCACACCCAGAACTGCTGTGTCCTCTTGCTTGACCACAACCTCTGATTTTAGCTTCATGCCCAACCTCTAATCCCTTGATACTCTTGATTTCCCCATAGTCTTTTTCCTCACCATGTTTCCCTCCTTACACATCCTAAGCCACCCTCTTAAAATGCAATCACAACCTCCACCCTATTGCCTCTCTTCAGATCTACCCATTTTTATTTGGACATGGGCCTAACTTGAAGCCTGAATTGTGATGTGCCTCCTTTGAATCTAACCTGGACTGTTGAGCATGGCTGGAAAGAAACATAACCTTGAGGCCTGGTGCCACTGCAGGATCTTCAACAGCTAGACCTGGCTTGTCCTAGTGCTTGGTCAGCCATCTCTCCCACACTTCCCAGTCATTCCCCTCACGTTCCTAATACTACCCAGCCTCATTCATAGCAGACAACCTTGCTTCCTCCTCCGGCAGACATGGAATTCCTCCACTATCCATTTCTCCACCAATAAACTGGTCTACTTCTGAAATTTGCCCAGTGCCTCCTTCCAGGGTCAGCACCCATTTTTATTCCTGTTCCATAGCTATTCTCCCACAGGACTCCTAACCTCGTCCCATGGCCTCTGAGTCCTTGTATCTTCTATTATTTCACTCAAAGAATATTTGATAGGAAGATAACTGTGCACTGGGCTCTGTTCTAGATGGTGGGATAGAGTAGGAAAAAAAGAAGAAAAAGAATCCTGCCTCTCATTTGAGGGTGGGGGTATGAAGACAAACAATAAGAAAGTTAAAACTTCAATAATCTGTAAGATAATTTATTTCTTAAATCTCACCCATGCAACAGGAGGGGAAAACTAATGCTGACCCTTAAAGAAGAAACTTAGGCTGGTTTGAGAAATAACCTCTCCATCAGTCCATCAGTTCTTCCCAGCTCTCAATGTGCCCTGATCTCATTCTTTGTTTTTTTAAAAATATATCTTTATTGATTTCAGAGAGAGGAAGGGAGAGGGAAAGAGAGAGACAGAAACATCAATGGTGAGAGAGCCACTGATCGGCCGCCTCTTGCATGCTCCCTACTGGGGAATGAGCCTGCAACCCAGGCATGTGCCCAGACCGAGACTCAAACTGAGATCTCCTGGATCATAGGTCGATGCTCAACCATTGAGCCACACTGGCCAGGCTGCCCTGGTCTCATTCTAAAGACAGCCACTCAACCTTCCTTTCCCCATATGGACCTCTACTTACATCTTTCCTCTTCCCTTCTTTGTTGACTCTTTAAGGATTATTCTACAGACGCTATTTCCACATTCATTCTTTTCTATTTAGTTGACATTTTAGTTGAAAATGTAATGCATACATATAACAAGAGCAATAGCAACAAAACTGTAGGGAAGGTTATTATAATTCTTAACTGTCCAGTCACTCCTTACCCTACCACAATCCAGCTTCTGCTCCACCACTCCACTCACTCCATTCTGGCAAATACCACATGACTGCCTCTTCACAGGACCAAATCCAAATGGACTTTTTCCTGCCTTACCTCACTGTTCCTCAGCACTCCTGACCCCCATCACCTTCCCTGGCTCAGGTAGCACAGTTTTGTGAGGTTGCAACACAAGCTCTTCCTTGGCTCTTCCTTCTCTGGTATTAACGCTGGAAGCTAACTTAAACACAAGAGTTCCACCTCTGCCCGTGTTCTCTTCCTGTAAGCACCCACCTGATCGATCAGTAATTCTTATGATCCTAATGGGACGCCTTTGAGAGTGAAAGAGGATGGCATTAACAATTACTACTCCTAAAAAGCAGGCGCAAACCAAGACTGTCCCAAATAACCTGGGATATATGGTTACCCTATTCTTAGGGGATCATATCCACCACTGTTAAGGTTTTAACTAATACGTACCTATCAACCATTCACAAAATTAAGTCTGTAGCCTTGATACTCATTGAGCTTTATTTTCCAAATCTTCAAGTTATTATTTCTACAGATGTATCAAATTCAGTATGGCCCAAACTGAATTAATCACTTCCATTCCTAAAACCTGCTAATTCTTGTATTTCCTATCCAAGTTACACATACTACCGAGTCACTCAACTCTCCAAGCTGGGGACTGTTTGAGACTTCCTGTTCTCTCTAACCCATCGGGTTTAATCACCAGGACAGCTGACTTTAGTTCTGAAGATTTCTCTTATCGAATATTTCTCCTCTGGAATACTGTCATAACCTTTTATCTGGCTTCCCTGCTCTAGTCTTGTCTCTTCCAAGTCTTTCCTCGCTGTTGCCAGAGTAATTCGCTCACTATCACTCACAGGATGATAAGACTTTTATCATGACCCCACTCTCCTTTACTTCTTCAGCCTCATAACCTTAGTCTCTCTTTCACTTTGCGCTACAATAATACCAAATAGCTTGTAGAAACACACACACACACAACCCCCATTAAGCCGTTTCTCACTTCTACACTTTGTTCATGCTGTTCCTTCTTCTAGGAATGCAGATCCCCCTCCTTAGCTTGCCAACATCTACACCACTCTCTCTGGTCGCAGCTGGTTCAGAGGGGAGCTCAATACATCTTCTTTATACTTTCTAGGTACCTGTCCACACCTTGGCCACAGAACTGGATGTATTAGTTTGAAATTAATTATATCACTCTTTCCTACGAGCTGGTAGGCTTCTTGAGGACGGGGCAGTGCCCCTTAAGTACGTAATGAGTAGTCACTCTGTTTTAGAAGACTGCATGCACTGTTATTAATCAAGCAAATTAAAATAAGTTGGACTAAACACTGAAATGAATAAACTTCATTACCCCTTAGCATAGGAGACAGATGAAAAATATAGTTATGCTACATCAAAGTTAAGAAAAGAGTAAATACTTAATTGTTTAAGACTACAGAAAATCAGAATACATTTTAACAGTTCTTTACTATGAAAAGTTTTGTGAAAATACAGGGTAGGACAAAAGTAGGTTTACAGTTGTGACTACACGAAACACAGTTTATTCTTGTATTATTATTTATGCGCTATTGTATTATTCTCCAAATATGTAAAATAATACAATACAAATGTAAGCCTACTTTCGCCCCATCCTGTATTATCCAAAGAATTTTTTTTAAATAAAAGAAGTTTCTCATTCCTGTATTTTTTATTACTTACATTAACAAAAAAATTAAACAACTTTAAAATGGGAGACTAGTATTAAATATAAAAAAATTTAGTATCCATCAAATCTACCCAAACATCCTTCTCTACTTTCCAGATGTTTCCTCTTATGATTCCCATGTTCTTATATAATTAGCTCTGACTCAAAAAGAAGCAGCTTTTCACTTTGTCTGTCAAAAATCCAAAGTATTTGACCTTCAAGGCACAGAAAAATCCCCACAATTTTTGGATAAAATGTGGTACTCCTGTCATTTATTCATTCAAGCAATTTTGGGGGAATTAAAAAAAGTATAATCTAAAATTTTAAAGAATATTATTAGTGTTACCAGAGGCATAACAAGAGCATCTGGCACAAGTGGTATTCAGTGAATATATAAAAGAGAACCACACAGCAATTTAACAGTCAAGATTATGAATGACTTGAAACAGTTTATATTCTTCTGATAAAGTCCTACTCTTACGACAGTTTTTAATTTCCTATTTAATCATCACTTTGTGCAATCTTTCCTAATTATATTTTGGCTTACAAATCTTATTTTGTGGACTGTGATTATTTTTCTAAGAAGGAAAACAATTTGAGGTATTTTGAAATTTAAAACATGCTCTGGTATTTTCTTCAAGCTGAGGATTTTCTGACTATTCAAAAGGGACAGGCACTGGTGCTCCAACTAGGGCAGGCACCTTTGGGTAGATCTGATGAGATGAAATACAGCTACTATTTGGCATTCTATTGAGAAACACATTTGGCTAAAATATAACTGAGAAGTTAAAATATTTTTAAATGCAATATTTATTTTTTACTGGTAAGTTGCCGATACTATAAAAAACAGCTCTACTCTCAATAAATATCCTTGAATACTACCTACCTGTCAGAAGGTGGAGCTCTAAACATATCTGAAACACTGGCTTTTTATATGTGCATTTCACAAATATGTGTAATGAGGAGATTAAAGCAGAAGTAAAGTCTTCAGAAAAATGGTTCTGAAGAATATTCCAATTTTCTCAGGATAAAAGTACCCACATCTCCCAGTATGTACATAGTTAACCAACAAAAAAAATTTAGTATGTTCCTTTGAAACTTCAATATACTGCCTACTATAAAATGTAGGTATGGTAATTCAGAATAAAAGATAAAGTATATTTAAAAGATAAAACATTTAAAATCAGGATCACCTACTTGAATGTAGGCAAGGTCATAAACACTTACAAGCATCTCGGATATAGAGCAACATGGCTATGAAGATATAATCGACTAAACCCAGGCTGAGGCCATCTGCAAACAAGGCATCCCAGACCACGAGAAGATCCTGTAGGGGGAACTCTCGCCCAAACAGCAGCCGTACCCACCGTCTGGAGAGAAACAAAACCAAAATTCAGAAAACAGTACGCTTGACAGTAATGTAAAGAGAAATCATTTTCTCCTATAACTGTGAAAAAAAATCATAATTTTTAACTGATCACACTGAGCAAACATTATATATCAAGAATATAATAAAGCAAAATCCAAGTTTTAAGCTTTCAAATGAATTTTACGTTTTATAGCTAGACCACAGTCACTCAACTTTATTCCTATATGTATAAAACAAAAGTACAACATTTGAAAAGTGTAGGAATATTTCATATTTAATATAAATCACATAAAAAAGGCAAAGAGAAAATTAAATGTATAGTGGTCTGAAAAGTGCCTCATCTGTAAGTTGAGTTAAAAATTATAATTTTCCAAAATTTCATGATCACTACTGATTTTTTTTTTGTTAACTAGACTTTTGCAAATGGTTATATGACAAATATAGCCAAACAGAAAATTTCATTCTCACATTTCATCATATTTAAAAAAAATACTCATTTTAAAATTAAAGTGGGGGGAAAGGATACCTACTATTTTGTCAAGCACAGAGTTATTTCAAATGAAACATAAAGTGATGCTTGATTATTAACTTTAGAATAGATACACAGTATCAGTGAGCCGATAGGCACATTTTTCAAAATGCAGCTACTTCTATGGCCAGGAAAATGGATATCTATGCATAAGCAGCTGGTAAGAATACTGAACGAGGTCTGTATATAATTATACGGCATAAACAGTTGCACTTCAGACTTTCAATAAATGCTCACTAAGTTAATATCTAATTCTTCTAAGAAAATTCAAATAATTCACTCTGATATGTTTTTATCAATTTATTGCTAATTTTATATAACATGGCTACAACTTCCTTACACAGCCTTTCTCTAGGAACCGCATCTAGAATTCTATTTGATTCTGACACATAGCAAAGAATGAAACTTCCAAATTACTAGTACCCCCAAATAGTACAGAATAGAGGAAACTGTTTAAAAATCAACTAATAGATGTTACCATTTTGCAAAATTTGAAACCAAATATAACCATCTGTGGGGTTAAAGTGAGGCCAAAAAAAATTCAAATACTTTCTTCAGGAATTATTACATTTAAGGAGGAAGCATAGCTATGACAATATAGTGTATAATCACACATACATATCAGTTTAGTAGGAACCATATGATCTAATTCTTAAGTTCCTTTATTCATATTATCAAATTAATCAACAGAATAATTAAATTGTATTTTCAACTACATCTTAAATTACGTTACTCAATTTTTTAGGAAAAAAAATAATGCCTAAGTAACATTTGTCTTTTTAAAAATGTTATAGGCAGTTTAAAATTTTTATCTACCTTTCGATTCTTACTCCACTGCTAATATGATAAATAAAATATACCTTTTTATCCAGTGTGCCTGTATTTATGCAGCTTAGGGGGAAAAACATTTCTATACATACTTCTAATTCTTTCAAATAACAAATGCTAATATTTACTGTTTTAAGAAGCAGACACATATCTCTAAACTAAATAGGTGCTTTCTTAATTACAAAGAACTAACTGGTCTTGCAAAAAGTATCAGGGGAACCAGAAGAACAGACAAAGCAAAAAGTAGCTAGCCTGAGCCATCCTGGGCACCTGTTTAGAGGGTCTTTAAACTGAGAGCTATATCTGCACTGTTAAATGACTGAACAGCTAGAACGTGGTTATTTGCAGTTACTCAAATAAGACAACCGGAAGAAAAATTCATCAGCATGAAAAAGTGGTGAGGATCTAATGTATAACACGGGGATTCTAGTTGGTAACACTGTATTGTATAATTGAAATTTGCTGAGAAAGTAGAACTTAAATGTTCTCGCCAAAAAACACACCAAACCAAACAAACAGAAAACCCCCAAATAAATGCACTAGGTGATGGATGCCGTCATTAACTAGATGGGAGGAACCCCCATCAAACATCAAACCATTACGATATACACTTTAAATATCTTACAATTATATTTGTCATTTATTATACGATAAAACTGAATAAATGAATGAATAAATAAAGTGAAAGAATTATCTTGGTTCAGTGAACAGGCACATTTTGGCCCTTTCGTAATTAAAAATTCTGTCATTTAACCGATTCCTTCTGGTTCAAATCTGGATGCTAGTATAAAATTCAAGCATCGCACCTATAAAAGAATATAGTGCCTTGAGCTTGCACCTTTCATTCTGGGAGTGTGCATTCACCTTTTCCTCATCTGAATAAACCCATTTAGTATCCACCGCTGCTGTTTCTTGAAATGCATTGCTTTGGCTTAGCTTTCCTACATGTAGGGGAAAATTTTTCTCTGTTTTCCCTGCTTCCTTTTATTGAAACCAAAATCACTTTTGAAAAAGTGGACATCATACTTAATTGACATCATTTAACAAAAAAGAAGTTAAAAAACACGGCAGGTGAGAATACAATATTATCTCTTCCCCACTATCTCTTTCCCCCTTTCTCAAAGTTCAGATTCCTCCCATTTTCTTGTGGACAATCATATCTTTGGTTTCATCACACATAGTACATCAAGAGGGGAAAAAAAGCCATTTTAAAGAGATAACTTATATTCTTATTATTTTTGTAACGAAACGCCCAGCTATTGCTCCAACTTCTCTTGCAACCTTCCTGCTGACTGGGGTTCTGTTAGCTTAGCCTCAAAAATGATCCCACAGATACATGCAGCAATCTCTACTGCAGCATCGTCAGGAGGGGAGCTGAAAACATCTATAACCTACAGTGAATAAAACCTATCCTTAGAACTACATAGAATGTAAGTCTTCAGTACTTTTATATTTAATGTGTAATCTATGATGTGCTGCTTTATAAATGTTTCACATTGCTTTATTTTCGAAGTTTTGCCTTGCCAAGGCCACTGCTAAATAATTCCAGGGCAAGGGCCAAATTCTGTGTGTGTGTGTGTGTGTGTGTGAGAGAGAGAGAGAGAGAGAGAGAGGGAGAGTGAGAGAGAGTGAGAGAGCAGGAGAGAGGGAGAGAGGGAGAGAGAGGGAGAGAGAGAGAGGGAGGGAGATCCAAAACGTTCTCTGTAAAGAGCTCTGTACATTTTGCTAAGTGCTCTATGTATTTACCAAGGTCTTGTTAAATTCACTGTAAAGCCAACTGTCGTGCTTCCGAGAAGCAAAGGTGCAGCTAAGTTGGAAATATAGGCATTGATCTTGTTAGTGGCAGCATAAAAATAATTCAGTAAGTGCAAAAAAAATCCAGAAACACGTAAGAAAATTTTTATTGTTATTAGATATTTAGCATGTTTCTTTCATATAAGACTCTGTCAGTTGTACACACAAGTTTATTAAATTAAAGCAAAATACAGTTTCCTCTATTTTATATGCAATTATAGGAAATATTCTCAAAATATTTAAGAATTATCATATGACTACTAATGGAATGCTTTGGGACCAACATTGACCTTATCAATAATTTAATCACTTTTACTCCAACTGGAGTATATGTAGTTCATACATATATTCACCACAAACAAAATTTCCTGTGCTATTCTAGGCTTTCTTCACTGAGCTTAAAAGCCAAGGAAAAATTCAGTTCTTTATGAAATGAGTTACCAATAGAAATTATTTCAGTAAGCTTTTCTATTCTTAGAAAGGAAAATTTACTCTAAGAAATGAGATCTTATAAGGAAGTCACTCATAAAATTAACATGTTTTTATTGCATTTAGAAATATTTAGGGAGAGTTTAAGTTACACTTAAGGGTAGCATTAAACCTTTCTTTTTCCTTTAAGGATAGGTTCAATTTAATTGCTCGATACTATTAATTTTGCTTTATGTATGATACACCTGCAGATTGCAGTGCTTGTTAACATATACATCTTATCACTTGTGATAATACAGTAATTCATAATTTACCAGATCTACTTAGTAATTAAAGTCTACACAAACAAAAAAGACCATCTAAGATATTAAATTTAATTATAAACCACCCAAAGACAGGACAATTTCTGTATCTGCACTTATATCACTATTGTCAAATTTAAATTTCATTGCAATTAAGCTGCTATCCCCGGGGGATCAGTAACTCCTCTTGGTATTATTGCTTGGTGAATGACCCATGGAAACGCCAAGAGAAATTCATTTTTTTCAATCAAGTTATGAAGATGACCAATTTGACTGAGGTCTAAATAAACATAGCTTCAATTCAACATGGCTGTAGTGGGATTATACCTGCAGAAAAAATTTATATACTAGATATTCATTTACTTTTTCTTTTCTTTAATGGCACGTTAGGAAATATAGACCCAGCCACCTTAGGACAAACAAGTAAAGAAGTAAAGGCATATTTAATCTAACAAGCATTATAAGGCATCTTAAGTAACCTTGGATCATGAAATGGTAACACTGGGTAAGCATATTGGAACACAAAAGAGCAATGTTGGATTTTGCTTAATGATATTAATTTTCCTTTTGCTTTCTGTTCACCTGTATTTTTTAATTGAATTAATTGGGATGACATTGGTTCACAAAACCATACAGGTTTCAAGTGTACAACTCAACAAAACATCATCTGTACACTGGATCATGCGCCCATCACCTAAAGCAAAGTATTTTTCCATCCCCATTTCCCCTGCTTTGCCCACCTCCGCCTACCCCCAATCCCTTTCCCTCTGGCTATCACCACACTGTTGTCTGTGACTATCTGTGTTATATACAGAGAGATATCTATACATATCTATATGTATCTCTCTACACACACACACACACACACACACACAATTTTTAATTCCTTTACCTTCTTTGATCCAGCCCCTAATCCCCCTCCCCTGACAGCTGTCAATCTGTTCCATGTATCCATGCCTCCGTTTTTATTTTGTTCATCAGTTTATTTTATTCATTATATTCCACATATAAGTGAGATGAAACGAGGTTTGTCTTTCTCTGCTTGGCTTATTTCAGTGAGCATAATACTCTCCAGGTCCATCTATGCTGTCGCAAAAGGTAAGATTTCTTTTTTTTTTT